TGTAGCACTCCAACCACTGCGGACTCTCTTATCTTGGATAAGAAAAGTCACACCTTTAGTGTCACAACAGAAAGCGAGACAGGAATGTTTGTGTTTAGAAGCAGGAAGCCCCAGCGGTGATTGTATTTCATTGAGCTGATATAACTGTTTTTGCTGTTGATGCTGAAACTAAACGTTCAGTCAGAAAAGCAGCAGAAAGCAAAAAGCCGCAGCTGACAGAAGCCTGTCAGCAAAGTTAATTGAATGTCACTTTGAATCTTTTTTTTTAATCATCAATCTTTTTCAAACATCAATTTCAAGTAGGAGTCTAATAACATGTTACTTTTGGTAAAATTTTTCAAATCTTTTAAAAGTACACAGAGGGAAAAAAATTACCTTTTTTCTTTTCCATCAACTGCCTGAGTGTATTTAACTGGGCTGTTACTTTCAACCATTTGCATTTGAGGACATTTGTTCTCAGGTGGCAGTTTGATGCTAAAAGCCTCTCTGTGTTTTCAGAAATGAACTCTCAAGAGTAAAAAGAGCTACGGCATGTCTCTGCTGCTGACACATAATTGATGCTGCATGGATTATTTTCACTGTCGGACATGAGCGTGATGTTCATATTTCACAGTTGCACAGGTGTTAGCTGATCCCGGTTGTTATTTCATAAAAACTATGCATAGCTCCAGCCAACATACAAAACGTGTGCCACATTTAAATGAACAAGCACAATTAAGCATGTTAGTGAAGAAGAGAATCTGCAATCCTGCTAATGTATTTGTGTCAAAATGTTCAGACAGCGGGATTGGCAGATTGGCACTTTGGCTGAGTGCCTGTACATATGTGGGACTTTGGATCCGAAAAAGGCCAAATTCTGCTGAGCTGATGATGGCCGGTACCTGTTTGACCTTAGTTTAAGCAAACACAAATTCATGAATTAATCCTCCACAACCAATTTCCCACAGACATAGAGATTATGTATTTCCTCCCCGGACTAAAACTGAACATATTAGGAGGCATTTATAGTCAGTCAATCTGAAGCTGTTATCATTATGAGCACCATGATAATATTGTTTAACCCTGGCATGTCAGAATGGAAAAATTCCACTTTGGAAGGAAATTTAGAAAATCCCAAGTCTACAATCTATGTGATTTTTTTATTCTGCATGATTTTTGCACTGAGCAGCTGGTGTGCGACAGGAAGAGGAGCATTTTTCATTTGTGTTAAATAAAGTGAGTCAGGCAGCGATGAAAGGACAACAGAAAGCACACCACCTACACAAACAGCAAAAACAGCAGGGCGATAACTGCATTGCTCACAAAAATCCAGCAAGGATCTCTGAGCAAGACAGATATAATTATCACAATCAAATCAGCAAAACAAAATAAAATCTAAGAGTTATCTTGGCCACGGATAACAGAAAAATAGCACTGTACGAATCTGTATTTGATGGACTGGCTTTCAATAAATTTAAACACCTGTAAAAAAAAATTCAAGCAGGACTTAATTTTGTTTCTTTGTCTGGTCACATTAAAACTCTGTTTTTATCCCCAAAATTTTTTTTCCGAGTGAAGCCCAAACTCACAGATTTGTCAAACCAAAGTAGTGTTTCAGTGTGTATGAAAACACACGTCATATGCTGTACGAGAGGGCATTTATATGATTCATATAATTCCTACCATTTATTGCCATTTTTTTTATTTGCTCTACCACTGGTTATTGTAAATAAATACATTTGTCTATTTATGAGGGGAGCTAATAATGTATGAATTATTTTAGAAATAACTGTTTGCAATATCTTAAGTCACACAACATGCTTATCCTTATAATTTCAACATACAACAAAAAAGCCACATACATGCATATAAAACTTTGCACATGTTTTTGCAACAATAAAAAGATCAGACCAAATAACAAATCTGAGGACAGCACAGAAATTATTATTAAATGCAAATGCAGCAGCTCAATCAACACCTATCAGGTTATTTCATACTATGAACTTTAGCTTCAATGTGTATGTTCAAATTAATTGCCAGTTTAAAAAATCACATATCCTTTAGATGGCGCCAACAACCAGCTGTGTCTTCTACTTCTGTTGCTTTCACACCTCAAATCACAAAACCTCAGCTCAGGGAAAATAAGCAGGTACACTGCACACATATAGCTGCCAGACCGAAAACTGACTCTGAAACAAAGGCTGCTCATTGCAAAAGACAAGGGGGCTGTTGGCATGACAACAGGGTTGTTCCTTAGAGCACAAGAGATGGAGAAATACTTTGAAAATCCCTAAAACCTGAAAAAATCTCCTTTGTAATCCTCTTATTTCCACAAAGACCTCTACAGGTGATGAGCATCACACATTTGGCAAATTGACTTCTATTCTTGGACACTGGCCCCCAATGCAGTCTATTACCTTATTTTTTTCACCCCCACTTTCGTTTACATTCCAATCACTGCTGGAATTTACTGAAGAGATGTTGCATATGTAGCTGGAGAGCTAGATCAGATAATTGAAGGGTATCCGAACAGAACCAGGGAACAGCTGTGGTGTCCAAAATACAGCCATTACTTGCATAACCAAATAAAAATTGATACTCTAATCAAGCAAAACAGCATAGGTTAAAAGCCAGATAAAGTGCTATACAACAGTTAAAATAATAACTTAAATATCTAAAATATTTGAATAATAATTCAAATATCACTTTCTACAAGTGCACTCTGTTTCCTGTTAAAATCTTCAACATAATTTTATGCTGTGGTACATTTCTGTTTTCTATTAAGAGAGCTTCACATGTATGGATTGATGGGTGTTGTGTGTATCTGTTATCAGTGTGTCTTGCTTACAGGCCCCTCAAAGCATCCCAGATGTTCACGCAGGATGTCTAATGTGGTCTCAGCTCAATGTCAGGACATCCTCTACTCTAATTCTGATCTGGTCAGACGCTCTGACTTTTAGAGGCCTGGCTGTTACTCTTGTTGCTGGAGAGACCTATTCCTATCCTCCTCCGAGAAATTAAAACATTAATCATGATTATCTGGGGTCATCCTGTTCCCTTGTTTGCTGCACCGATTCTGATTGGCCTGATTTTTGGCTCACTTGGGAGACTCTGCCTGAATATGTGGCTTTACCCGGATTAACTATCATTATCACTATAGTGTCCCATACGTGATCCTGGGGCTAAATACCATTATGTAGGTGTATGTTACCACAACATCCACACATTTATCAATGTAATGCTTTGTTGATGCGCTGAGATTATCCGGCGCTTTTTGAGCCGTTACACCCATTAAGTCCACTGGGTGGCACCACAGGCTGTTGGTAAAAATGCCCCTTAAAAATCCATGCCAAACAGTGATGGGTGCCTCCTTACCAAGCCAGCTCCTGTTCAGGTACACCGAGACGAACACGGGAGGAACCGTGAAGAAGTCCACCACCGAGTTCACCTCCAGCCAGAACCACAGCTTGTCGTTGGCAGCGATAAACTGTGAAGAAAGAGCCAATGGTCATATAGGAAGACTACAAACAAATCAAAATCAACTGGATTTTTCTTCCACTAATTATGTACTCACACGGAGGCCAAAATAGAGCAAGAAGAACACATTGAACGCCATGTCTGTCTGTAACGTGAAGTCTTTGTAGAAGTTCTGACAAGACTCGATAGGACTGTTAGACAGAGAGGAAAACAAAGTATGTTTATGTCCAAAGGCAAATGATGACAAGCAAGGGAGAAAAGACATGGTAAAATGTATATCACAGAAAACAAAGAATAATAGATGCATTCTTCTTTTCCTGAAAATGCATTTTAAATATTTCCAAAAGAAAAATAAAACACAAGTGTTCAAAAAAGTGCAATCACTGGAATTTTCTTTGTTTTTTCTGTTGAGAAAGGGGCATGCATTTATTCCAACACGAGCAAGAACTTGTTGATATACCTGATTAACCCTTAAATAACTGCAAAAGTGTCCGCGGAATACGTATTCCAGGTGCAATATTTCAAAAATGGAAATGGTGCTCTTTTGCATTTTCCATCCCATAAACATCATTAAACGTTTAGTCAAACATGATGGAAATACAGAGCCAAAGCAGTAGTTTAAGGGTTAAATGCATGCAGGGCTCATGTCTTCTTTTATGAGATCAGGCAGCCATAGCAAGTGCTAGCAATGTAGTGAAGTCTCACCCTCAAAAAGCTTGTATCTGGCACAGAAAATTCAAATAAAGAGACACAATTAACCAAGTAATATTAGAATGTAATAGGTTAGTATGATAGTGTCCTCACATTTATAACCTGTAAGTTACAAATATTGTCTCAAAGTTATTACTCACAACTGAGATGAAAACACAGGTTTGCTGTACATTCAGGGTTAAACAAGACTGTGGATAAATCAGCTAAAAGTGCAATGCTTTGATGAGGATTAATAAATCATTTCAATGAAAAGCGGATTACATAACATAATTATTGATAATCGTAACAACAATGGTTAGTTGAGTTAAAAGCGAGGTGATGGAACATGAAGCCCAACAATCATTATTTATTCAATAAAAATTAATGTGCAGCGATTTCCTCCCCCCCCTAACCAAAACCTTTATTGAATTTTGGACTATGGTCAGAA